CCCAGGCAGGCTCCGCAGTTAAACGCCTCTGCTTGGGCCTTGATCTCTGTTGTCTGCCGCCCAGCGCAGCCCACACAGCTCCCAGCAGCAGTCACCGTCCCACAGGGTCATTAAAGCTCGGGTGGCAGCTGCTGGGATCAGCCCACACCTGAGCCCAATGGCAGGACGCGGGCATTTTGATCACCGGCACTAATGAACACAGAACTCACAAGCGGCTTGTCATCGCTCCGGAGCCTCGAATCACACAGACGCAGGCTAAATAAGACTGATGAGACAACTATTGTGGAAGATCAGGGAGTTTTGACAGTTTCCAGAAATAGCCCAGGATTAGTGGCAGTAGTTAATAAACAAAAATAATACCACCATACCCAGGGACAGTAGGAAATAGGAGCACAAACATTTCAGTGATCTGTATGGCGGCTGCTTATAAATGGAAGAAGGTGACACGTTTTCGTTGTAGTTTGTACTGTGTCTGATGTATTTTTTACGGGTACACAGTAAAAGTTGAATTTAGACTGCTTTCTACTTGGGTACAGCACAGACCATCAGTGCACACTGAGCGTCTGAAGGACGGCATTCTTTATGCCCGAGCTGCTTCACTCTGGGCTGCTCACAGGTACCTCAAAAATCAGCAGCAAAGCCAAAACCAAAACTCTGGACCAGAAAAGCCCAAGTACACCTTTTGCAACTTGCAGTCCTCTTATTTCCTGCGATTTCTTTGTGAATGCACCTGCTGACAGCTGCAACCATCCACTGAAAAGGTTTCCACATCCAGCTCCTCCTGTCTGCTCATCTTTCTTCCTCTTACCCAAATCCAAAGGCTGAGTTGCTCCTAAGATCGCTCCCTATTCCAGGTGTGTCAAAACCAAACGAGTCAGCAAGAGCCATCGCTGCACAACGATCACAAAAGCAAACTGACCAGGTGAGGGAGGGCAAGTGTCCAGCAGGAGAGCAAGGGGCAGGTTTTTGGACAGCAGAGTTAATGCAGGAGGGTAAGCACCCATGCTCCAAGTGGAACATACTCAGAACAGGACCCCCCCTCTTATTTTTAGTCTGTTCTTACCCCCCAGAGAATTTCTGTTCTCATTCAGCACCACACTAACAAAATGGAATCCCAAAGGACTGTAAATACAATCTCACGTTCTGGGGTGATCTATTTTAGAAATTATTAAAAACCTGCCAGACTTTCTCCACCTATTCTGTGACTTCTACTGAATCTCTTCCTTTTGGATCCTCTTTTTATTAAACCTGGCTGTTTTGATGAAATACAGAAAAGAAATGAAGTTACAAGCAGCTTAAACATGAAGCTGGTATCAGAAGGCTACTACACAGCCTTGCTGTACAGCAAATAATTCTTCTGTGTACAAAAAGCTGCTACTTTTCAAACAAAAGTCAAATACCAGTGTAAAATATAGAATATCCCCATCTCACGAGGAATCCAACAACCACTGTACAGATAAACCCAGAATTCCTCTATTCAATACTGTAGATTTTTTTTCCCAGATCATGATGGTTTCCTTGCCCACTGACTCAGGGTATTTCTTTATTACTGTTTAACACCAGAAGGCACGAATGCATTTGCAAAATCCAACTGCAAGGTTTAAAAACCATGTGGCTATACTCTATTGCAAGAAAAATTGACTGCAATGAAAGATCTAAGCTCAAACCACTCTAATAGATGTGCTGTTCCTCCACTTAAGTTTTTTAAAGTAGATCTATAGCTGCCCACATGACAGATTAATATTGCTCCACAGCAGTTAGGTGCTTGGCATTACATTTTTGAAGAACCTACAGGGCTTCGGGGCTGAAAGCGTTCCCATCTCCAGCAATCTATAATGGCTCCTCTAGAGGCCAGCACTTCTCCATAATGAAACATGCCCCATAAATCAGGCCGCACAAGTGGCACTCGTGCGTCGCCATCCATCCCGGCGCTTTCTGTGACAGGCGCTGGGCAAAGACCATCTCCCGCTTTGCAGCCAGGAAGGACCGTTGTGGCTGGCAGTGACAAAGCATGTGCTACATAAACCTGAAGACACGCTAAGGCTGGAAAGAAACCACATCCTGCTGGTGTTAGCACGCCTCAGGCAGTGGTAGAAGCCTCAGCAACTCTGCTTCAAAAGGCACAGCGCCAGGGCTCTAGAAACCTGCAAAAGTTGGCGAAGCCTGCAGTCTTTTTTTATTTTTTTTTATATCTTTTTTTTAAGCTGAGCATCTTCAAAGTCTGTGATTCTAACTGTAGGGCACAGCAGCTGCCACTGCAGATTTGATCCTCTCAGCTTTTGGCAGCTCTCAACTTGAAATTCCAGCTAAAGAATTTTTCAAGTTGCTATTATTGCCTGTCACGGATTTATAAATATTGTGCACTATCTGCTGCGGCACGGCTCTCCTGGGACACCAGAGCACGCCAAAAGCATAACAGAATGAAAAACAGTTCCTATTCTTCAAATAAATGCTAATTTTTTTTAACTGTGCTCACACGATGCGTTTGGTGATCAGCTTCAATAGTACAGAATATATATCAGAGGCAAAAAAGCTGATTGTCTTCTGCAGTAGTATTCAGCTGCTACTTTCATTAAGCTTGTTTAATTACATTCCAGATGCTAATTTGCAAGTCGATACCAGAGGGTGCAGGACAGTTTGCCTTTGAATCCTTTTTCTGTGATGTGATGGTCTTGAAGCACACCACTACCCTCCAGTAGCCCTAGCAAGATATTCTGACAATTAGTGCAAGAGAAAGCAGTATTGATCTTGACAGACAAATATTAATCCTCTACCCATTTCATTAAATTCATCTCCAGGAATTTTATCATCAATGCCATTTCATAGCAAATTTTACGTCAAATACACGTAGTGTAATTCCAATTGAATTTGTTTTAATTCCTATAGAAATATCATTTATTATTTTCTTATTTTACTGGGGAGAAAAACCACATTTGACTTAGAAGTATTTTAAGCTGGCAGTCATAACAGAATACGAATAAGTGCTTAACAGTACAGCTGAGCTAAAGCTCAACCTGAAACTTCGCTGGTTTAGCTAGTATAATTACTAAATTGTCATTAAATAACCATATCTAGTAAAAACAGAGGAAGGGTTAAGGTCCATGCAGTTTCTAAGATCTAAATATCTATTTCTACAAACTCGTAGGCTGCATTTTTACGGGCTTGTTGTAACTGCGAATATCTGCTGCCGTTTATGGTTGTGTATGAAGACAATTTAATTAGGATGACCTTTCTAAATAGGAAAAGTTGGAGTTTTACCAGTTTTGGTTGCTCTTACAAAAAGAATGACTTCAAATACAAGCCTGAAAACTAGTTGAGAATGAGATTTTTTAGTTTCATAGCCCAGCTCTTTGACATTTGTATCCGTGGAAGCAGACCACAATGCCATAGCTGTGGGTTTGCAGTGTGACTAGCACCAGCAAGGCTGGAAAAAGAGACTCTGTCATTGCTACAGCAGCATGAGGAGAGAGGAAAAAATAGAGAGTCTTCTTCTATCTGGTGGCTCTTTAATCAGTCGTCTGGTGTAATGCTCCTTACAGAAGAAACTCAAGTGGCTATTTAAAATACTCCAATATTTCTGATAGCACTTATAAAGCATACCAGAGCACAGAAGTCCAGTGCCTTCAGAGCTGCCCAAAACACTTCAGCAACACAGGAACCCTGGTCTTCCTGCACACCTACAACTATTTCATGTATACTGACAGAAAAGGAGCCAGGTCCAGGAATAACTGGAAAACTGCTTATTACTAATTCTTAAATGGTTTATCAAAACAAGTCTGGTTGGTGTTTCTGTAAAGTCAACTGGTATTACACATCACATACCTTCAGGAGATGTAACGGGGCATGACATCACCTAAGTTGAATTAACTGATTTTAGAGAAGAACTCAGTGGACTTGCAGGGCCATCACCTGAACACGCACTGCTGTGCACCAGCAGCTAGAGGGGAGGAAGTCCTCAGCTGCATGACAAGGACGTGGAACATCTGAAGACCTTTTCTGAAGTACATTAACTTCTTCCTTTGCCACATTATTCAGCAATACCTAATATCTAGGATTTGTTATATCTGCACTGTAGGCCAAAATGACTGCAACTGTCAGTGCTACAAGTGATTTTTAATGGGTTCATTTTCAGTGGTGTTAAAGTCTGAAGTTTTTTTCTTCACTGTGAAATTATTAATCAATTGGAATGAGAAGAAGCATTCACAAGAAGTCTGAAGAGATGAATGTGGTTTAAAAGAGGGCCTGACATTACTGAGGCATTTTACAAAATATGGTCACATAAAGCCCTTTAATTGTTTGGGTTTTGTTTTCATCAATAGTCTGGTCCAGATGACTGGATTTTTCAGTGTTAGCAGGCACTGAACGTGGTGTAACTGAGTGTAAGGAAATACTACAGATAATACAGAAATGATGTACTACATACATTCATAAAAAGTAACCAAATCATTTATTCTGCTCTTGATGACACTCCAGCTTTCAGCTCTCCTGAATGATTCTCTATAATGAGCAACCAAACATTTTCCCATTTTTATCAAGATCAACAAACAAAAAACAACCCATGTCCTTACAAATCTTCTGACGATCAGCTTTTAAGTAGATATTAAAAATAAAAGTGCAGTCACTAGTTCCAGACATACCCGATCAGCTGGAAATCCATTTTGTTTCATATACTACTTGAACATTTTTTTGGTTGCTTTTACAACCAAGCATCTCTTCTCCAGATGGAGAGCACAGCATTGACCACTGGAAGAAAAGCAGCGATGTGGCTGTCCAGTTCCTGAGGTCAACTATAATCCCAGAATCATCACCACAATCACACGAGTTTTTCCAAACTTAAATCTGCAAGAAGCTGTATTTCTTTAAATTTATTTTACCCATCTACTGGGTGAATGCAGGGAAATAGCAGTTTTCTCTTTTTTTAAAGCTTCAACTTTCTTACATTTTTATGATCATGAGAATTATTGAGGGAAGAAACACCGAGGTTTAAAAAAGTGTCTTACCTCCATGTCCAGTTTGTATTTGTCTTCAAATACTGCCATAGCTGCTAATGATCCAGAACCTACGGTAACAAAGTCAGGACACTCCTTTAGCTGGTATATTTAGATACAGTGGTTTTTTTAAAGAAAAATATAACAAATATGAGCAGCACAAAACAGACTGAAGTCCACCTTAGTCTCCACTTTGAAGCATCTACCCTCTAAAAGTCCAGCACCTAATTTAATTCTAAATTTGCAGCCAGTGTTCACAGACTTGTCGTGGTTCCCATTCTGACAGCATTTTTCTTTCTCTTATGTTGAGCACCAAGCTACGAAAATGAGGTGGAAGAAGGAAGTTAGCCGAATGCCACAGTTGTGTTTCCTACTCCTCTGTTCCTCCTGCCCCACTTATGTGCCTGGGCACGTCTCGAGGTCTGTAACTTCGTATCACGACCCCCAGAACAAAGAGACCGCTTGAACGAGCTGCCCTGGCACAGTCACCACTACACAACCAGCAGTGGTGATGGGGAGCTGGCTGCTCCCATCAGGTCATCCCCATATCTACTTTTATCTCCAATATCTACTTTTAAACTGTTCATTATGCAGTTACTTTGTGCCATTATTTTTCCATCGAACAATACCAGCTGAACAGACAAAGTGACAGCTATGAAAACAGGAGTTTACTTCTCTTGAAGGACGCAGTGTAAGTGCAGTAGTGAAGCAGCAGCCATCTCTACCCACAGCACTGCGACTGCAAGCGCTGTAAATGTGCTTTCCGTAAATTAATATGAAGAGCAGCATGGTACTATTTGAAACTGTAAAGTTGCTTTGTTCAGAAGGAGCAAGTCTTCAGGAAGATATCTTGTCTGTCTGTGGCCTTAACCATATTTCAGAAAGCATTACTTTTGGGGAGTAAATAAAGTTGCCTGCAATTTTTTACTCCAATTAGAAGATTTTTTGGCATTTATTACTTTTTAACTTGTTTTGCATACTGCTATCTGTTTAGCTGGGTCACAGAGAAAGCCATATTTTCTATTTAAAATGATTTGTGTATATCGCTTGACCACCTCAATGGTTTAGTGAAAGAAAAAGGCAGCGATTAAACAGTTTCAAATGAGGTGTCCTGCTGATTTTATCAAGTCTGCTGAATGTATAATGAAAAAGGAGAAGCTGACAGTGACACTGCAGAGGAAATACAGACTGCCTTATCTGAACCATTTAAGGAAGTCCAATTATAGATCACATTTAAAGGGTAGAAACAGCAGATTTACAGACACAAATCAATGGGCATGGTAATCCCAATGAATATGACAGATATTCCTGTTACAGAATATTGCTGCGGTTGAGGATCATTACCTTTACAGTACCAAATACATCACATCTAAAAGCAGTGGGACACTCCGAGTGTGTACTTGTATTACAGGCAATGACTATTCATTTACACCTTGGAGCAATACATGACTCCATTTTAGATGCTGAAACTGGAAATAAAGATTTTTAAGCGACTAACAGCAGAAATAAGCCACTGATACAAACAGCTGATACCACGGAACAAATCATACGCAAGAGGAATTTTACTGATCCTTCAAACAAGGTCAAAATAAGGTGTGATTCAAAACAAACAGGTCTCAAACCATAACTATTCTCCTTGTGGAATGACAGGAGAACATTTCTAAGGAGGGAAAAAAACATCCAAAATACGGTCTCAAACAAAGACCACATTCTTACTACATTCAAATGAGGTCCTACCATAAGCAGAATGGGAAGCATTAAAACCAGAAAACAATCTTACCCTTGGACACCAATTCTTTGACACAAAGACTAAAAAATGTGCCAGAATGCAAGTATGAAAGGTAACATCTGACAGAAGTTACTGCATTGAAGCTACTGAGCTAAGAAAAAGTCTCTTAATTTCTTAAAACTTCAAAAACTGACAAAAACTATCAATAACAAAATATTGCAGTAATCTCACACATAATTATTTATCTCCCTATATTACCAAGATGCAAATAAATGCCGTATTTAGTATCAACTTTATATAAAGAAATGCAGACAATCCGATAATTTAAGTTCTCAAAGAGTTGCTGGAAGTCTTAATTTATTGAAGCCTACGTATAGACATTGACATCAAAAAACCACAATCTCAAGGAGGTTCCAACAGAACAGGCAAAGCTGGAAAAGCTTAATAAACTCTGAGGATTTTTGGTCTACTGTTTATAAATCCTAAACATTAAGTTTTATAGGCTGGCATTTAAAAAGTGCCTTAGCAAAAGTCTCACCGCACAGCTAAGTGTTCTCTGAAAGAGCAGATTTCTGTGATCTTAAACAGCACAATGAAAACTCTTTACCCTCACTTAAACCAGATGTAAACAGTGTTTAGAAACAGAAATAAATGTATACTTCTGAGTTCCTCCATCAAAACAAATCAGCTGCTGTTTGACAACAGCAATAGGAACTGTTCTGAAAACCACCACTGACATGCATACATCCACCTGTAGCACACCAAGAACCATCCCCTGACCTCCCTCCTTGCACTGCTGAGGACTGAAACCCCCTCATTTCACCATCCGTTTGTCAGGCTCCACACACGATCCAAAGCCCCCTACAATGCTCACACAGTGCAACTGAAGGGTGGAAGCTGTGCTTTGTAACCAGAGAGCTGGCAATAACATCTGTGAACTTAAGGAAACACTGGAAGTATGGTTTTCTTATTGCAGTACCCATAAAAGCACAGAAAACTTAGATATTAGGGGCCTACAGAGAACTTGCTTGTATGTGGGAAACAGCTGTTCCCTTGTCCACCTACTCAATGCCCACCAGTAATTCGTTTTTAACAAGCATGCTCTGCCTTTATGTAGAAACAACCTCAACAACTCCCAAACAATGTCTGGAGAAAGAAAATCCAAACACTGCAAACCAGCATATATTAACTAGGGATGGATGTTCAACCTCATACACACAGGAGCTGATTTAACTGACTACCAGCTCGGATTCGACATCACAAAGTAGCAGCAGTTCAACCTCTAATCTATTAAAACATTCAGAAATGCTTTAATGTGAGAATGCATCATTAAGCAGTGTCTTTAACCAACCAGATACCTCAATACAGAACTAGATATTTATCTTGGAGAGATAACTCGAGTTTGAAATCTCAACACAGCCAATGCAGAAATAAGAACTTTTCTTTGTTGGATTTTTTTTTTAAATGTTGGATGTTTACAACTGTTCTGTGTATGACCAACAGGATAACTAAAACTAAAAGCATAGTTAGTAAAGTCATCATGTATTTGTATTGTACAACATCGGGGGGTGCTGGGGGAACCCAACAACTTCCAGCTAGATTTTTAATGAACACTGGTATGAACAGTTACACCTCAGCAACCCTGGAAACACACTCCAAGGAAAAATGCTGTGTCAATTCCAAAGAATTTATTTCGCATGCATGTTCAGTAAGGTACACTTTAGAAGCAAGTATCGAGGAAATATTAATCTAGCTTCTAAATATATCAAAATACTGATTGGCAAACAAATTATAAAGAACTAAAAACAATGAGATGCAGAGCTGTATTCTGAGGCAAATGCTTTCCAGTCCCATAATGAGCATGAACCAGGGAAGTTTTAAGACCATAAGAGGTTTTTTTTCCTCCTTCTTTAAGAAACACTGGTAATTTTGTAAGTTTTCACAGCTAAGTTATTTAAAAATTTTCAGGACTTAACTGTAATAAACTCGTTTTATAATCTCGTGTGGTCTTTACTTGAGAAGTTGGGTCACCTCAGTATTGATTTCAAGTGAAAGGTAATTACTAACAGAGGGGAAAAAAAAAAATCAAGCTGACAATAGTTTTCACTGCTTTGCAACTGCAGGAGCTTTTCTAAAAGAGATGAACAGGATCTTTTTAGCAGAGCATTCACTGAAGACAGCTCCTTATTGCTAAGCACAGTCCATTTCCATCACCCAAGGACCTGTTTGCTACCTCAGGCTGCCACACCGGAGGATGTGCAGTGCCTTGAGAGAGCAACATTTAGCACCTCCTAATCCATCAGTGTCAGGGCTCCCTGACAGAGCATTTATTCACACGCACTCATTGGTATTCCATTTGCTGTTCATTCCAGGTAAAAATCCTGTGATCTCCACAGCCCCATCGATAGGGATCATTTTTCACCCCAGTTTCTGGCAGAGGGGCTGCGTCTCAGCAGCGGCAGTGCTTGCTCTGCAGGACGGCGCTGCCGACGCTTGAAGAGCTGATTTATGAATATGTAACAACACTGGTGTCAGGGGACGAGCCTGAGCCACCAGAGATGCCTGGAACATACTGACTGCTTCTGAAAGCTGAACTACAGACTTCAAGTGTTTTAATTTTATGCATGCATTTCATTATGAGTCTTGGCCAGAAGCTTTCCTAGACAAGCCAAGCAATCAGACAATCTTGCACCGTTTGCTGAAATCCGATTTTGTCCTTTGTCAGCACAAACAGTTTAATTTGATGTTTTCACTCCTGAGTAAGCACTGAGTATCTCTTAATATCCTTGCAAGGGAGGACACCACTCTGTCCATCCATAAACACACTACAGCTAAATAAAACACACACTCACACATTTAAACAAAACCCCAATGCTTCAACAGCCTTTCCTATTTAATATGGAATTTCCACAGATTAACTGGCTAAAAATAACCACCCCAATGTAATAAACTGCCCTTAGAACATTTGGGGGAAAAAACCGAACAATAGATCAGTCTAAAATTCCAACTATCCTCAAATTGAGCTTTGATACCTTTTCTGCTGTCTCAGTTCTATCTTTTATTTATGCACATAAGCAAATCCTTTTACTAAAATATCTCCTAGTCACTGGAGGAAGTATCAATGTAGTGAGTGTAGAAAGGTAAAGGACATCCATGCTGAGAAGGGCTTTGTTTGACTGCATGGTCAAAAGTAACACCTGATCACCAGGCAGACCCACCACAGCTGACAAGAAGTCAAAGTTCCAGCTACAATGAACTTAATCCACCCATATTCCACTTCCTACTTGTTTCAGCTTATTCTGCTACTATGTTATTGTTGTGCTGGGAAAGAGCAGGGGCCAGGATTTTCAGCAATGCTACATTTAAAGCGCAGTAACTGTGTATATAAGGGAAACTGTGACTTTATCCAGGCAACCAACTACAAGCAGTTGTGGGTATAGAGTCAGTTACAGGTTTACAGTTAACTGCAATATTGGGTATAAGACGATTATAAGGAGCAGGCATTTACTTGTTTTTACACCAAAGGCTAAACAATGACCCCACATGACTGTGAGGTGGATTTTCTCTGCCAAGTGAGTGATTTGCCAGTTCCTGAGGTAATGGCCCCATCTATTGGTCCAGTGCCACCTCTGCAGAGTTTCTGCACGCTCATCAGTTCGCACTATACGGTTAATCAGCTTGTTCAGGTTAACAGCTGCACTGTCTCAGCAGTGCAAAGATCCAGAAGACCTTTAACATTTCCAAGGATGTAGTAGGCAGCTGTTTTATGCCATCCACAAACAGAAAAAGATCAGCTATATTTTCCCTATCATAGCCAGCTTAAAAATTGCATGAGACAAAGGTTGAATCTAATTTACTGATCTGACACACTTCATTTTCAGACCATTTTTTTTTCCCCAATATATGTGGACTCTACACTACATTAGTTTCATAGCTCCACCAAACCCAAGCTTTCATTCAAGACAGTATTTCACAATATAACCTGAACATTTGTAATTGCCAAAAAAGCATGCGAAAAACCTGTGGGTTCAGCTCTCAATATTATCGCAAAGCCCAACTTGAAAGTGAGTGCTACAAACACAGAACTGCGCATGCCTAGAGCTCAAATTACTGCTATTACAGAAAATGGTACACAACAGGAGAGGTGAGGGGGGCTACTCATGTCAGGTTGACCCCAGCAGCAGACGGAATTAAACTGCTTTATGGAGAAGTTCCACACAGTGGTTAAGACCAATTATTGTACATAGAAAGTAAACCAGGTGTTGCTTCGCTACTACAAAGCGCCTTCTTAAGTAAAAGAGAGCTGCTACTTAGCAAGAAATACAACAGTCTCAAAGGAAAACCGAGGCATGTGTTCTTCCTAATGAAACTACAGAAGAACTTCAGGCAGAATTAATTCCCCAAAGGAGACCTCAAATGAGCCATAAGCTAGGACTATATGCAAATCAGGTCTCCACAATTACTATTATTATTATTCCACAGTTCTCCTGCTGTAAGGTATGCTGCACAATGCACAGGGCAACTTTCCTAATACCATTCTTTAGCAGTTTAAGTAGTATAACAGCTTATGTTTTAGTGTTAGAAAATAAACAGAACAGTGCATCTGCCTTACAAATGTATACCCCTGTCTTTGAAGTCTGAGGTCTGTACAGCTCCCAGACAATGGGAGTCAAGTAAAAACTCTTTAAATAATAATTTGAAGTGCTCACCCTTTTGACCAGGCAGTTGTGTTACAATACTGAGGGAGAATCACTTACCCATGGTAACGTAAGGCAATTTGTCTGTTGATCCGTGGGGATATATGCTGTAGAGGTGAGGTCCCGTCACATCGACTCCTCCTAAAACCAGGGCAGCTCCAATGTAGCCCTGATACCTAGAAGCAATGATTACATGTGAATCTGAAAGCCCACAATAAAGCTGTGGTTCTTCTTAATGCAATGTATGCATTTGAGAATTCTTCCATGATTATACCAGGTACATCCCCACATCAGAAAGGCCACTTTTACTGTCTGTGAGCAATAGCTTAAATTAAGAAATTCACTAGAATATACTTCAGTGTCAAGCAGAATAAACAAGCACTGGACAAGCAAGTAGGAAGGACGCTCCTTCACAGGAGTTTAAATATTCACTAGTGGTTTTAACAGTGCTGTTAATAGACAAGAAACCCATTCAGTTACCTGAAAAGCATTTGCTTTAGCATCCGATTAGCTGTGACAACTCTCGGAAGTCGCCCAGTAGACAGTGAATGGAGCTCCAGATTGGAAGAAATCAGCTGAGTTGTCATATCAGTATCTGCAGCTGTTCCAGCACCACAACAACTGAAAAACGCAATCAGCAAGTTAGGAAAAGGTGGGGAGGACAGGGGAAACAGATAACTCTATGCTTTATCCAACAATTGGAAGGTTTCTCAATTTAAAATTGAGGAAATTAAGTTCTCATACAGTCAGTGTTTTCAGACTAGAAAGCGTGTTTAAGCGTAAATGAAATACCAAAAATCCCCAAGCTTTGCTTATAAGTTACCATTTTAAAGTACATATTAATATTTGCTGTTAGCAAAGTACCTCTCTAAAAATCCCAACACTATTACAAACACCTCCACACAACAAACAACGTTAATACTTACTAGATATTAGGGGAAATGAAGTGTATTTTTGAACAGTTCTTGTCAGCAACAACCATTCCTTCAGTCGCCCTCGTATCTGCTCCCAGGACTACACCATCCTACGGAAGGAGAAAATCATTCCTAAAGCCTCGACCTCCAACGGGGACCTTTCCAACGCCGATAGTGAGATCGGCTGCAAGGCCCGGGGCAGCTCGGATGGGGCCCCGCATGAGCCGGCTCGGCACAGGCCGGGGACACTCAGAATGACTCAGCAGCGCAGAATCTCTGCAAGGAGTCGCGCCAGGACGCCGCTTCCCGACAGGGCCACCCCAGGACCGAGCAGCCTTGCCCCAGCCCCAGCTCAGGGGCCAGGGACGGCCGCGCTCCCGCCTAACTCAGCCTGGGGGCGGAGAGGCCCGCGGCCCGGCC